TTAGTAAACTTCTAGTTTACTATAGCATTTGTTTCAATCATTTCAATATTTATAATAAAGACTAGAAGAAAAAACGAATAAATTTTTTAATACATATTTTCTATCCAATATAATGATTATAATATATAAGTATTCATATTTGTTATCTTGATATGATATCAATTTAGATGAATATCCTTGAAACTCAATAAATTTCTATGAGACTTTGAAGAGAAAAGTACATCATTTATAATAAAATTTATCCTTTCGGATAATAACATATTTGCTCTTTTAGAACCTTTAAATTATTTCACCGTAAGTAATAATATATTCGCTCTTCTAGAGCCTTTAAAAGTTGTCTCTTCAAGTCATAATATATTCATTCTTCTAGAGCATAAAAAATTTATCTTTTCAAGCAATAGTATATTCATTTTTTTAAAACCTTTAAAATTTGTCTCTTCGAGTAATAATATAGTCGCTTTTCGGAGCCTTCTATTAGATTGATATTATCATATATAATATTAACATGGAATAAATAATTAAATAATTAAATAAATTCTTCATAAACATAAATAAATAGTAAAATAAATTTATATTTATTTCTAATATAAATTATAAGAAAATATAAAACATCTTATTTATAAATAAAAAAGCTAACCAGATTATTAATTTCAATTACTAGGATTTTGATATATAAAATTGGCCTATATATATATATATATATATTTTAACGAGGTTTGACAATGCTTAATGAGGTGCTTTGGTGTACGGTAGGTACACGACCAATGTCCATTCATACCATATATATAACATTCATTTTTAGAATACTAACTTTATCTATTTCTATTCTTTTTTTTTTTTTTTCATAATTATCTACTTTTGGTGGTGAGATGTAATATTATAGTCATCACGATTATAATGATAATTATTTCGACCATGTTCATGGCTATGATCACATCTTCGTCCATACCTAAAATTACTATAAATTATTTCATTCACTTCGGGGAATATAGTAGATCCAATTGGACGAGATTTATTTTTTTCATCAATTGCTTATTATTTTATTTAGCAATGAACAAGTATGAAATCGATTTAAAATATTTTTTAAACTCTGTTTCTTGATATGCTACTGCAGGAGCATAATCAATACATGAAACACAAAGAATATTTACTTAGTATCAAGCAAGTCATGATCAATAATTCTTGCCTAAAATGTCAATGGTCACAAAATCAAGTTTTGTGAGGTTTGATATTATAAAAATTCTATGATACAAAGTATAGTACTAACATTAGGAAATAAAAACAAAATATAATAGTAAAATTTAAATAAAGACAAATGTAATAATAAAATTTAAAATTTTCAAACAATATATATTAGATCATTAGATACTATATATTAAATCATTTAATTTTTTTAAATGTATATTTTATGTATTATTAGATTTAAAGTACATGATAAATTATATACATACCTCTTAATAATCTAAATAATTTAGATCTTCCGACGAATACTTATGTAGAAGAAATCCAATGGTTGAAATAATTAATTAAGTCTTTTGGTAGATACATACCTCATGGTCTACTATCTCGATCGGTTAGAGCTTCGTGCTAATAACGTGCTATGAAAGAAATGGTAACAATAATAGAATTGGAGAGAAAAATAATGAAGAAATGATTTCACTATGAAATAAAGAGAATACAAGAGATAAAAACCGTAAATAATCTCTCATTCTCTATAAAATACTTGTACATAAACTAATGAACAATAAAACCTATTTATAGATTTCGGGATTACGAAGAGAATTTGAAATGATTATGAACCATTAAAAGATGCGTAAATAATTAAATAAATTGCATCACTCTTTCAATTTCTCATATTAAATGATGAATTGAATCATGTGAATAGTGCGGAATATGAAATGGATATTCATTATTTCATAATAGATATATAATTTTTATTTATTACCTATCGCCTACTTCTATCACTATTATTAACATAATAACTACTATGGACAATAATAATACAAAAAAAAATAATAATAATAAATAAAATTATTACTACTATTACGTCACTACTCATTCTCCATCATAGCCACCACTCTTTTTACATTTCTATTTTAATTTTTTTTAAAATATATTATTACTATTACTATATGAACTCCTCATCATCTTTCTCCTCCACCACCGTCATTATCATCATTAAATCACCTCTATCTTTTTTACTATTATCATACTAATGATATTATTTTTCTAATTATTATTTTTATTCATTTTAAAAACTAGATATTAAAAATTTTAAATGTCATTCTAGTTCTTTATTAGTATTTCAAATATAGCTAGCATTGGAATGAAAATGATATATCAAATTTTTAAATTTTTATTTTGGATTTTTTAATTTTGGGTAACCAAATAACAATTGAGTTTTTTTTCTTCAAAAAAGAAAAAAAGAAAAAGAAAAAGAAAAAGAAAAAGAAAGAAAAAATAAATTTATTATTTTTTTAAATAGATAACAATATATATAGAAGGAGGTATAAAAAGGGCTTTTAAGGGGAAAATGATGTTTTTTCCAAAATTTAAATCGTTAACTTGATAACTTATTATAACATAAACGGTGATAGAATTTTCTCTCGCTTTTGTTAAAAGCATTTTATTTTATGTTTTTTTAGAAAATTTTCATCCTCGAATACCATTTTTGTCTTTTTTATTTTCCCGTGTATATAGTTTTATTTTATTTGATTTATTTATTTTTTTCTAATTGTGATAATCTATTTGTTTCTTAAGATTTTGGTTATTATGACCAAAATTTTACCTTTAGAATTCCCCACATGGTAAAGTGATCATCTGATTTTTATAGTTCACTAAAAAGTAGTTGTTTTTATTTTTGTATCGTTTTCTTTAGTGTTTCGTCTGCTTACGAAAATTATGGATGATATTTTTAACAAAATTAATTACTTTGCAATCTCCTTTTTGAATAGTTTGAGATTAGGACAATCAAGTTAGCAAGCACATATGATCAGGGATTCAATCAATATAGTGGATAACTTCAATCGTTATTGATTAGATATTTGATCAAATCAAGACACAACGGACTCATGGTTATAATTCATAGTGTTGCTGTAAGAGATCTTTACCTGGTAAAAAATTGCTTTAGAATTTGAAAACCATCCAATAATGTTGTATTGTGGGAAGTTATTACAACATGGGCAGATGCTCCTTGATATTCTCTCTCTCTCTCTCTCTCTTTTTTTTAACGTACGTCACGCGTAGATAGAGGTTTATTCGGTGAAAAAACTGTACAAGTGGATAACTATTTGTTTTTCGAACATAATTAACTCTATTTTTTAACTTTTCCTTCCTTCTGTACGCTATGAACATCTGTTTTGAAGAATCATTATATTCAATTTATTATATTTTAGGGTAACATCTATGTATTACTTCAATTATTTTTTATCGGTTTTGATAGAGAAAAAAAAAAACTTATTAGTCTTAACCATAAGAAACTAGGGAATCATTATATTGCTTTTCATAGAAAAATCACATGCATCTGGATGACAACGAGTAAATTATAAATTAATCTTTTTAATTTTAATAAATAAATAAATTAATCCATTTTATTTTAAAAATGATTATTTGATTCACTAAACAGTGTGGTTATATTTAATTTAATATTATTTTATTTTAAAGAATGTTTTTTCACTAATCTTTTCAAATATCTATTTAGTTTTTTAAAATAAAAAATTAAAAATAACATAAAATAAAAAATAAATAATTAGTTTTTTAAATAAAAAGATTAATTAATTCATTTACCAAAACTAAAGACCTAATTTATAATTTATTCTGATGGCACGATTAAAAAATAACATAAAATAAAAAAATAAAGGTGTCTTGAACAGAAGGCTTGTATTATTACACATCAATGGTGTAATTGAAACTTCGAAACCAAATAAAAAAATACCTTTTATTTATTTATTTATTATTATTTTTAATTAACACGGTTACTTAGTCGTAGTGCACAACAGCATTAAACACGGTTCTTGGTGTCTTCCTCTCCATCTCTTTCATTAATCTCTCACTTCAATATCGGAATTCTCTCACCCCCACTTGCACGTGCCGCGACTGCCGGCGTCTGTCCCCACACACGTGTGCCCCCAACCCCACTCCCTCATAATATCTCTCTTTCTTCGTTTTACGAAACAAACGCCTCTCTCGTTCTCTTTATACAATTCCAATCCTTGCCCCCCTCTTTCCAACGCTGCTCGCCATGTCGGTTAGTCGCGTTACTTCCTTGCATCTATTTGTTCTTAATTTTTTTATAGATTCTTTAGTGTTTTTTTGTGATTTGCTTTAATTGATTAATTTTGAGCAAGTTTGATCTCTGATCGATTAATATGCATAGATCTGTTTGAGTTTGATAGTCTCTGCTTTGCGATTTTGTGTGCAATCTTAAGCTGTCTTGCTTGCTATGTTCAAAATGCATCGTTTCATTTCATGCTCGATACAATCTGTGTATAAGTTGTTTGTTTTTGCCTATTAAAAGAAGAACTAATTAATCTTGACTTGACCTTTTTTTTTTTTTTTGCTCGTTTGTTTATTTCTATGCGTCGTTTTTTAAAGACATGTTTTTTTTGTTCGGTTATTGAAATGGTTGAAATATTATATTTGCTTGATTAATTTCTTATCAGGGACTAAGCCTAATGGTCCATCTCCATCGATATAACATGATTGGCTTGAAAAAAATGTGTTAGCAAATCACATCTTTGTTCGGTGAGGATGAGCGTATTATGCTGGATAAATCTTTCAATGGCCCGATGATGATAAGATGGGAAGTTTTACCTCAATTTGTGTGATAATATTTGTTTTCGGCGTGGTTTGGTTTGTATTACTAGATTGGAGCAATCATAAGTTTATTTAATTTCTGGTTATGGACGTGGAGTCTAAGAAGAATCTCTACTCAATTAATTTCTCATAATTGGAGCTTTGATTGTGAAAATTGTGATTGTCCCTCAAGTTTTGGCTTGGAAATGAAACATTGGAGTCTAAGCAAGAACCCTGGAGTAATTGTTATCCTCGATGGTTTATTCACAGTTCATGTCAATCAGATTGGAGTGAAGTTAGTCTTGTATCATGTATATTCACACAAAAAATGGTTAGTTAAAATTTTGCAAGGAAGTTTTTGTTCAAGTGAGGCTTAAGAATATGTGGATCATAATCTTTCCATCTTTATTTGAATATGGCTGGGGCCGCTGGACCATTTAGTTACCACATACCAGAAAAGCTTATAGAAAGTTTTCCTCATTCTTAGACCTGGCATTGGAGCAGCAAAGCTTATTGCTTCTTTTTATTATGGAATAGTTGACACCATGGGTCACGTTCTCTTTGCAAATCCTGGATGTTATTGGGGCTTGGGATTTCGTTTCAACCTTGCAGGCCCTTGCTTTGCTGTAATTTTTCATGATAGTTCTATTATTCAAGTCTGAGATTTGTAGGTTTTATGTTGTACTTGTCATCCTTATTTTTTCCACAGGGCACTATTTTTTTTTTCAATTTTTCGTTTTTATTTTTATTTTTTTGCAGGTAAAAACAGTCAAAGTCAGTAATGTTTCCTTAGAAGCATCCGAGCGAGACGTCAAAGAATTCTTTTCTTTTTCTGGTGATATTGAATATGTTGAAATGAAAAGGTATGGTGTTGTTCATTTCCATTCTTTCCCCCTCCCTCTCTTTCTTCCGTTCTCCTTTGTTGTTTGAATTCCAAGCATCTCTTATGCTTATGCAGTGATAATGAGCTATCTCAAATTGCTTATGTTACCTTTAAAGATTCTCAAGGAGCAGAGACTGCTGTTCTTCTTTCGGTAATTATATTTCAGAACATGGATCATCACTAGATTAATGTGCCATTGTTTCCTTGGTTCAGTTATTTTCCCCTTAGAAGGGAAATGATCAAATACTGCATCCTCTTTTATTGAGAATATTTGCTTAACGCAAAATATTATGTCAGCAATGATCATCCTTTGATCATTGCAAAACTGTCTTCCATTGGAAAAAAGAAAACCATTTGCTTTTCTGAGTCTGATCTCTGTGGTCCAAATGCTTCTCATATTTCTGTTGATAAGCAAAAGAAATATATTAAAAAGACCAAGAGGTGCTGACCATTTACATGGAAAAAAAAATATTATATGCAAAATAACGACTCTAAACTATGCTGCGCTGATTACATTAGTAAAAGCTTCCTCTGCACACTGTTAGCACGAAGTCCTTATAAAGAAGTCTTCCCTTTCCAATGCTCTTTTTGTTCCTTTGCAACCAAAATATAAGTTAATGAGATAGTACCACAGTCACTTGTTTCCTTTATAAAACCTCCATCCCTAGCTTCTCTTTCCAGAATTTGTGAAAGACGAGAGTGCTACTCAGCTCCATCCATTAGCTTTGAAAGTGCTTTTAGCCAAAAATTAGTGTAGCAAGTGTTTGACAGATCCATCAGAACCTTTACAATGATAGAACTGACTCACCAACATCTTTCCCCTTCTTCTATAGGTCCTTGTTATTCAAAATCTTACCTCAAGCTGCCTCCGACTTGAGTTTTTCATATCATTAGCTCTCTGTGGGAAATCTGTTGTCTCCTTAGTAAATTGCTTTCTTCCTAAAGCTCTGTAAGAAAACTTTTCACAGCAAAGTTAAGATTTATATATACTCCCATTATCGAATGTTTTAACAAGCGCCCACCCTTATCCATTTAATCAAATGGTACTTGAAATTCTTCATTTTCTTCCCCTAGATTCCTTATAAGAACCTCTGGATATTTTCAAGTTTGCCAGTAATGGACCAATGGGCTGCACATAGAGAGAGAATAAATGGGATAAAAGGGTGAGTGAATATATTGTTAAAGTGAGTCCCTCCCACCCACTCTTGTAGAGATGAAGTCTCTTTGAACTTTTACTTTTCTCTTCAAATTTCTCAGCAATAGATTCCTACGCCCTTTTATCTCTAAGATCAGCACTTGAAGGGGAAGCATTGATATGAAGTTACCTATGTCTCCTTGCATTGGTCTGATATTTGGATGATTCGCCTCAGTAATTTTCCTGGATGCCAAAGTTTGCACGAAGAACTTGTCCTAGAAGACCTCCTTTGGTTATAATGGGCAAAATTAGGATTGAAGCTTTGTTGAGTTCAGATTGGTTCAAGTTCTATAAAAGTTCCCCCGATGAAATATCAATCACAACTAAAAAATCTTAAGATTATGGAACTCACATTGGCTTTATAGTAACTAAAAAATGGCAGGCATGAGATATGCCATCCTATTTGATTTCTCAAAGCAATTAGTGTTCTGGTTGGGAATGCATTTTTCAGTTTGAAAGTATGGTTGCATTATTGTGAAAGCATCTATGTTCAGGTTGAAACTTGTCCTCAATTGCACCTATTGTTCTGAGAATTCTAAATTGGTACTGCTTGGTGGGCCTAATTTGGGTTCTAGGGCAATTTTCCCTTATCTTCATCCGAGATAGGATTTTGATAGCATTGATATGCATGCTACTTTGGAGTCTGTTTGACCATGTTCATTGAGTCATTCAAATTCGTGGTCTAATATACATAAACCATAAGAGGAAGGTAGATAATACAATTTGCAGTGGGGATGTATTACAATCAATATTTGCTGATTATATTAGGTTTTGGAACAATAAGCTGAACTATTTTCAAAGTGGATATGATATTTCTGAATAAATACAGTCTGTTTAAGTATCATTCATTCTGAACTGTTTTTTATGTCAGGGAGCAACAATAGTTGACCGTTCTGTCACTGTGACTTTAGATTCAGATTACCAGCTACCACCTGCTGCTTTAGCAAACTCTGTAAGAATGTTTTACTGAACTTCTGTTAGTTGATAAACCCTTGCACTTCACTGAACTGGTTATACCCAACCATCTGCAGGCAACAGAAAATAAATCTCCAGGTGATGAATCAGCTTTTAGGAAGGCAGAAGATGTGGTTAGTGGCATGCTTGCTAAGGGCTTTATCTTGGGCAAAGATGCAATCAACAAAGCAAAGAGTCTTGATGAGAAGCACCAGTTGACCTCGACAGCCTCAGCTAAAGTTGTTTCTTTTGACAAAAAGATAGGTCTCACTGAGAAGCTTAGTGCTGGCACCACTGTTGTTGGTGACAAGGTCCGGGAAGTGGATCAGAAATTTCAGGTTTCTGAGAAAACCAAATCAGCATTTGCAGCCGCTGAGCAGAAAGTCAGTAGTGCAGGATCTGCTATAATGAGTAATAGGTATATTTTTACTGGGGCTGCTTGGGTGACAGATGCATTCAGTAAGGTTGCAAAGGCAGCTGGGGATGTTGGCCAGAAGGCAAAAGAAAAGGTAGGAATGTCTGAAGAAGAACAAAAGAGGAAAATGGTGGATGACTTTGCTCAGGTCCACCTATCTGAGTCTCCAAAAGCATCTGGTGCAAGTGAGGAGCAGCCTTCCAAGCCTCCACCTGCTCAGGGTTTGATCCTTTGATTTACAGTTGTAAATTTTTTAATTCGAACATTGTATTTTATTATCTCTTGGTTACTAGCTGGAGTTCTTCAAGTATGGAAAAGCTGTGAATGTAGGACAGGCTGCTTTAATTAGCTGGATAAGATCGCAAGAAATGTCTTCTTTTCCCCAGGACGACAATATACCAAATTACATTAAAGTTTGTTGTTTCTTTTCGTTGAGTTCTTTATTGCTGAGTTTCTTGATTTTTAGTCATATACAAAATGAATTTGCTTGATGCTGTTCTAGAGATATAGCAATTGGTACTCCTGGTTTTGTGCTTTCATTTGAAGAAATTTCTCGGCAATCTCTCTCCCCTTCTCGTATTCAAAACTTCTGATCCTTCTGAAACTTATTGTTTAGTAGGCGGATGCCAGCATAATTAGTATCGTAGAATGAAATGCTATTTTCTCAATGTGTCATTCCATAATTCGGAATGTATGTCCAGGCCCAGCCAGAAAGGTGTATTGTGTATATGCTGGTTGTCTGGAGTGACGAACAGCACGTCCGAATCTTCAGATTACGGAAGGGAATTGCCTAGTTCATCAAAATGACAGTAATGGAACCTTTCGAATCCTTCATGGGCTAAGGATATCATAAGGCATTAATTGGATAGAGAAGAAAAAAAATTGAAATTTAAAATTAATATTAAACAACAGGAACCTCCTGTATTGATGCTTCTTTTAAGAGTTCATGCTTCCGGGCTGGCACTCTGTACAAAATGTTATTTGGTCTAATTTCCTTTCCCTCTTCTCTGAATGGCTCTGCTTTTGCATGAAGCTCTGCTATCTTTTTTCCTAGATCGGCTACATGTGAACTACATGTAGAAATGGTTCCTTCCCTCAAAAACACTTGGGTCTCTGCCATCCCTTCCGTTATGTCGTGGTTCGAAAAAAGTGAAGGTAACACCCGATGGGCAAACAAGAATATAAAGACATAAAATTGCTAAATTTTTTCTTGTAGTGAAGAGAGACAATTGTCTGGCACATCAACTTCCTAACAGGGAGGTTTCTTTTGACGTTGAGATTAATTCATTGCCAGTTGTCACTATCTATTAATTTGCAGGAGTTTATTTGCTGCATGATTTTCGTTTTCTTATATGGATGACTCGGATGAAAAAATATTTATTCAGATGGCTATTCGATCTGCTAATCAAAGTACGTATACCTGTCTCAGAGATCACACACTAGATATGAGCTACAAACGAACATTCGGCACATCAATAAATGGGGTGTAATCTGTCTCTCCGTTTCTCACAATCATCACAAATAAAATTCACCATCTGGATCATCAGGATACAACTTTTATTACCTATTGTTTTACCCCTCTATTTATTATCTTTTAATTCTTCGCCAAAAAAAAAAAAAAAAAAAGAGAGAGAGAGAGGGAAGTGTGCAACTAAAAATAAGTGGTTAAAATTAATTTTGGAAGGTCCAATTAAAGAAATAAAACTTTAAGAACCAAGAGAAATCTAATTGATGGTACAATTAAAAAGCCTAAAGCCCCAAACCCTTAAATAAAGAAGAAAAAGGTACAATTGAAAGAAATTTAAAAGAAGAAGTTCGATTAATTGTAATTTAGGGGTGTCATTGAAGTTTAAACAATCAAAATTATACTTGAATGGATGAGTTAGGAGAAATTAGGAATAAAAAATTAACTTTTTTCAAAAGGTCCTCATTTCTCCTATAAATACCCACCTCTTCATTTTTATAGACTATTCACTCTTCATTGTCTTCAAAATTTTATCTAGTCAAACCTCTCTCTCTCTCTCTCTCTCTCTCTCTCTCTTGTAATTGAACTAGCGCCATCCCACCTCTTCCTCATTCGTAATTGAGCCGGCTCTCCCTCGCCCGGTCGTTCCATCTCTCTCCATAAGCCATGATCGAATCAACCCCACATCTTCGCTTTGACCAAATCAGCCCCTCTCCTCCTTGACCGAACCAGCCTCATCCCTCTCCTCCAGCCTATGACCAACCAAGCGAACCCTTCTCATCCCTCTCGCTCCTTAACGAACCAGCCCCACCTCTCCTCCTTGATTGAATCAACCCCTCTCATCTTTGATCAACCAACCTCATCCTTCACCTCTAGCCGTGACCAACCAATCGAATCTATCTTATCCCTCTCCTCCTTAACTAAATCAACACTCCTCTCCTCTTCGATCAAACTACACTAACACAACCAGCCATCCTTTTCTCCTTCGTTTTTTTTTTTTTTTTTGTCAAGAAATGCCTATCATTGCGAGCATTAGTCCCGATTAAAATAAAATAAAAAAAATAAAAAATAGGTGTTTGTTTGGTTGATTGACAATAAACAAGAGTTTGTTTAATTATTTGATATAACAAAACAATAAAGACATAAAATAAACTATTGTTTGGATTGATGAGTTTGAAAGAACAACATGACGTTACGGACCACATTCTTTGTTTTGTTTTCGACAAGAACAACACCGCAACTCCATTATCGCCAAGTCCCACTCGATTGCAGTAACTTTGACAAGTTGCGGTAATCTTCACAAATTAGAGTAACCTTGACAAATTACGAGTAATATTGACAATTTTAGTATCTTTGAAAACTAGCAACGATAGTTACTGCAACCTTCAACTATCAAAGTGACAACGACCTTAGCAAGATCCATATAATATCTTACCAATGGGTAGTTGCTCTCCTTTTTTGACTAACTGAACAGATCAATTTTTATTAGGAAGGAAAAGAGTCAATTTAATCCCAAATAAAATTTTTGGATAGTGTTAGCATCTTTTGATTTACTTCGAGATAACACTCAAAATTTATATAAATTTAATGTTATTAATTAAATTAATTTATCTTGTAAAAAATATAATATTGCTTTGCTTTTTTATTTTTTTGAGGAATTTGAAGTAAAAGATACATTATTGTGTATCCTAAACGGTCGAAACCTTAGGCATTTTAAAGTGAAATAAGGTTGGTAATCAATGCTCGATAATGGAATTGGAAGGACAAAGTTGAGATTTAATTTTAATAGTGTATCCAAAATAAATGCTAGTCTTGACGTTTGCATAAGAATAAGATATATGTGTTTATGTTGAATGATGTGATTGATTTCAATCTTGAATGTGATGTTCGAATATGTGATATTCATGACCAATGTGTGATTACCCAATTACTTTATTTGCTAAAATGAAACCGCTAGTGGTTTCCAACCTATATGGCTAAAATAGCTTATGACTTTTAAATTTTGCCTAAATGAAGCCAATGGTGGCTTCTCACCTATGTGATCGAAGCCGCCTATGGCTTTTAAATCTCTTATTCAACGATTTATATTATGGGATTGAGTCATAAGAGACTCATCATTTTCTTTTTTAATTATTTTTTTATGGGTCGTAGTCGTAAGGGACATGTTGTTTTCTTTTGAAATGATTTTTGTTATGGGCTTGATTCATAAGAGACTTGCCATTTTTATTCCGTCAAATAATTTCTTTTATGGGTTATAGACATAAGGGAGACTCATCATTTTCTTTTCAAATGATTTTCTTTATGGATTGCGGTCGTAAAGGACTCGTCATTTGTTTTTCAAACGATTTCTTTTATGGGCTATAGTCATAAAGGACTTGTCATTTTCTTTTCAAATAATTTTTTATGGGCTAAAGTTGCAAGGGACTCGCTACCTTCTTTTCAAATGATTTCTTTTATGAGTTGTAGTCATAAGAGACTCTATTTTCTTTATAAATGATTTCTTTTATGGGATGCAATCATAAGAGATTCATCATTTTCTTTTCAAACAATTTCTTTTATGAGTTGCGGTCGTAAGATACTCACCATTTTCTTTTCAAATAATTTCTTTTATAGGTCGAAGTCATAAATGACTCATCATTTTATTTTTTTATTACATTTAAATGACTTTTTAAAGTTGTTGTTGGCATCCCACTTGCGTGAATGGAATCACCAACGACCCCTTTATCTCTTTACGTATGTGAATTAAAATTGTTAAGTGACTTCCTATTTATATAGACAAAGTCGCCGATAGTTTCTCAATTACATCAATATGGGTTTGTAATCCTAGAGACTCACCTTTTATCGATATAAGTTTGCAATCACTAGGGATTTTAGCCTAAATTCTAATTCTTATCCATCCTTACCTTTTTTATTATGGATATTGGCCTTGGATCGGTCTAAATTTCGAATTACTCTACTACTTTATCTTGATAAAATAAACTCAAATAAGCATAGAAGAATAGCATAGTAAAACTAGATTTTTTTTTCATATACAAATAATACGACTTAAGTCGAGTAGGACGATATGATAGTGATGTTATATCTTCTCCATACATAACCGACCCCTTATCCGGATATCTATGTAGACTAGTTTGCAATCATAAGGGACTCTCTATTTTCTTTCTAAATGATTTATTTTATGGGTTGTAGTCATAAAAAACTCGTCATTTTCTTTCTAAACAATTTCTTTTATGAGCTACAGTTGTAAGAGAATTGTTATTTTTTTTTCAAATGATGTCTTTTATAGGTCGTAGTCATAAATGACTTGCCATTTTATTTTTTATTACATTTAAATGATTTTTTTTGTTGTTGTTGGTGGCATCCCACTTGTATGAATGAAGTCACCAACAAACTTCTTATCTCTTTACTCATGTGAATCAAAATTGTTAAGTGGCTTTCTATTTATGTAGACGAAGTCGCTGATAGTTTCTCAATTAAATCAATATAGGCTCGTAATCTTAAGAGACTTGCCTTTTGTCGATATAGGTTTGCGATCATCGTGGATTTAGCTTAAATTCTAATTCTTATCTATCCTTACCTTTTTGATTATGGATATTGGCTTGGATCGGTCTAAATATTGAATTACTTTGCTACTCCATCTCGATAAAATAAACTCACTTAAATAGGCATAGAAGAGTAGCATAGTAAAACTATTTACATGCAAACAATATGGCCTACCTCGAGTAGGACGACATGATGTGATGTTATATCTTATCCACATATAATTGACTCCTTATCCGGATAACTATGTAAACTAGTTTTTTTAAGCTTTCCTAGTCCTCCATGATTAGACTCCTTGTTCCCATGTATCTCGGTGGGTTTTCATCGATAGAATGACTATTCTACTAGGAACATGTAATGCTAGAGTCAAGCTTTGAATACATGTGTGAAGAAATATTTGGTTGTTAGTTATGTGTATATGCCTATGTGTTTTTAGTGAATGATTTGCCTTTTAATTGTTTGCATATTTATGTGTGTTATGAAAATATATTTATGAATATATTCATTGTTTGTATTGTTTTCTCTAATAGCTTTTTAGTTGTTCAATTCTTAGTCTTTAGTTTAATTTTTATGAATAAACATGGGGTTGTGCGTTCACACACAACACTACATATATTATTTATTACAACCACTTACTTTTGGATTTAGGGAGGAGTTACTGGTGTCCCCATAGGTTTCACCTTGGATAACACATGAAAATTCAACATTTTTGGAAAGCTTCCAACATTATGATTGGTAACCAATGGTTTCCATGGTTACTACTTTCAAACTTGGTCGACCTTAGCTCTCCTCGACCAAAAGATATCCTATTTGAGACTTCAATCCTACACATTCATGTAATGACTAAAACCAAACTTTATGATTAGTCTTCTTGTATAAATTCACTAGGTAAGTTAGATGTATTGAAACCTTGATTAAATAATTAGCCATGAATGTTTCGGGATTGATGATAAGAAGAGTTAGATCCAATTCTATATAGTGTCTAAGTATAATAAAAATTATATGGCTTTGCAACAGAATAGAAAGGGATTGTTTAGAGATTTCTAGAGTAACCACAAAAATATCATGTATTTTAAATAATTGATCAATGATACTTAAAGCTTTTAAACATGTCA